CCCCGGTACCACCGTCAAGTATTTCGTAGGGAGGCGGTTTGAGCACTAAGCTCAACGTCCGTTACTGTTCACATGATACCACCCGCTGTTAAAGTCGATCTGGTGTTAAACCAACCCACCCATTTAGATTGTCCTATTAGGAAGTTCGTATCTAAGTGTAGTATAAACCGCATAAAGCAATTTAATATCGCTTATTCGATTTTTTAGAGGCTCGCCCCCTTAACGCCGTTACTTCTCAAGAAAACGGGCTTGTTGCGCTAAGACTGTAGCGGCTGCTAATTTAGGTTGCGTCGAAGGACTTTAATCATTTCGGCAGAGAAATGGCAGACATCGTTCCATGCTTCCTCGCTCGTTAACATTATCGGTACCATATTTTCTGATGTTATACAGGAGCCACGTTTGGTATTAAGTACGAATATCATGGAGTGGAAGCGGGGGCATTTGAAAAATGCGTGCATATGTATATACAGTATATTTTGCTTAGCTGCACATCCTTCTTTGCACGAAATCTTGTGCACGTAACCGAAAAAGGCACTTAAGCGAATTTTCTTTACTACTTCAATGAGGAAGTTATCCGAATCCCTATGAAACCAAATATTGGCGGAGCACTTACCATGTAGAAATTACTGCAAGCGAAATTGTTACCGAATGTTATCAAATTATCTATATAACTACATAAATTGATAGCAATTTTCGTTGTTCTGCGAGATGAGCAAAATAAATAAAAGGTTGTAAAATTAGGTAATTGCAGGTAAACGTAATACTTTCATTGATAATTGATACTAGTCGCACAATTTTTAAGGCAGGTATCGCCAATGTGCAGGTATGTTGAATGCATCTATCGGAGCAGTTTCCTTATAAATGTTAAAAATAATGCTTTTGATGCGCATTTTGGGGTAGGTATCTTAAATGTGCACTTAAGCATAGAGGCAGCAAAGCAAAATATACTGTATTTATGTACATGTATGCATATGGACGAACGAACATTTCCTTACGCTGCAAGATTTGTTGCGATGATTCTTGTGAGGTACAAGTTCTTGTATCAAAAGTAACGAGTAAAGTAACTCATACTGGTATCCGATACATACGGGTATCCGAATCCGAATATTCGTTACTTTTACAGCTCTACCAGTGAGTTCTCACAATCACAATGAGCCAATTTACACGACGACTTTTCACCCTGCGTTTTTGGCACGTTCCCTTTTAAAAAAGTCTTCGAAAATCCTCGTGCATTTACACGATGACTTTTTCTTTGCGGCGTTTCTTGCGTATTTTTGACATTTAAGCGTAAAATTTTCTTTGGTCAACTCTTTCGTCGTCATTTTTAAAGCGGAGCGAATCGCGAACTCAAAGCAAAAATATGAAAAAGTGAACTCGATAAAATAGAAACGTCAAAAAACCCGCGATTTCGCTAGTCCGGAGTTTTTTTCTTCTGGCAAATTTATGAAAAGTGTCAAACGATAGGTAGTGTTGCATTTGTGTACAAAAACAGAACGCGGTGAAAGCAAATAATCTTACATTTGTTAAAAATTTATTTATTTATTTATTTATTTGCAGCTATAATCTAGAAAATATAAACATTTCCTTACAGACTACTTACAGTTAACAATTGCAATGTAATTACTAACAAGTAAGAAAGTCTAAATTCGGGCGGAGCCGAACATTAAATACCCGGCGCAAGTATTAAATATATGTTTTTTCACCATGGCGCCACGCCCATTTTCCAAAATTTTATCACAAACGTATTTCTTGGAAAATTATTGTTGCAAGCATCAATTTTGATTAAATTAGCTTTAATATTTACTGATTTATCGAAGATTTTGTATTTCTCTAAATTATCGTTATATGGGATGTGGGCGTGGTTATTGTCCGATTTTAAAAATTTTCGGCCATTTGGTATGCTGTACCAAGGTCAATAACTGTGCCACGTTTGAAAGAAATTGGTGCAGCGGTTACCAAGATATACACATGTAACCATAAGTGGGCGTGGCTACGCCCATTTTCCAAAAATTTACACTATTCTTATTTTTCGTCTAAAAATTATTGTAAATATCAATTTTGAGTTAATTATCTTCAGTAGTTACTAAAATATCGCAGTTTTCGTATTTCTGAAAATTACCGTTATATGGGATGTGGGCGTGGTTATTGTCCGCGATTTTTTAAATTTTCAGCCATTTAGTATACTGTACCAAGGCCAACAACTGTGCCCAGTTTGGAAGAAATTGGTGCAGCGGTTACCAAGATATACACATGTAAACATAAGTGGACGTGGCTACGCCCATTTTCCAAAAATTTATAATATTCTTATTTTTCGTCTGAAAATTATTTTAAATATCAATTTTGAGTGAATTATCTTCAGTAGTTACTAAAATATCGCAGTTTTCGTATTTCTGGAAAATACCGCTATATGGGAAGTGGGCGTGGTTACAATCCGATTTCGCCCATTTTCAATACCGACCTACCTTGGATTAACGGAAACCTACATACCAAATTTCGTTGAGATATCTCAATTGTTGCTCGAGTTATCGTGTACACGGGCGGACGGACAGACGGACAGACGGACGGACAGACAGACATGGCTTAATCGATTTATCTATCCATTCTGAGCATTTATGTTTACATTTGTCTATATCTATCTCGATTCGTTTTGGCTGTTACAAACAACCGTTATGTGAACAAAATTAATATACCCTTGTGCACAAGTGCGCTCGGGTATAATTAGACTAGTTCATTCAGTAACTGCTTAAACCTAGGTTTAGGTAATGAAAAATCAATTTCGGCAGAATTTGTGAGCGTATTATTTGTGAGAGTATTAAAGTACTCATTTGTATACCCTCGGTATCGATACTTACTCAATATCGATAGTATCGTTCGAACCCTAGGCACGACAGAGGGTCAAGACATTCACGTAGAGAAAAGTGCATGTTATCGCTTATAAATATTAGGTCTAGGATCCTAGCAAGTTTGTTAATAAATTTATTAATCTGGAAGAGATTCAAGCTTAATAGATTGTCTACAACATATGTTTCAGAGAAACTGTTAACATTATTAGGATACAAAGCTATGCTGTCATCCACAGGTGCCCAGTCCACATTACCTAGGTTAAAATCACATAAAATACAAAAATTGCAGTTTGATCGCTTATATACTAAGTCCACAAGGTTATCTATATGCGCTTTATACAAAGTATCTGTACTACTTGGCGGAATATAGGATGCACTAATAATAAGTGTTGAAGAACCATTCACGGATACATATAGTTGATCTAGTAGTGAATCCCCATTCTGCAGTGAAAGAAGCGATGAACGATGTTTCCGGTGAACAGCAATTAAAAGACCACCACCACGAGCAAGTCCAGTTTTTATGGCATCCCGATCCTTTCGATAGACATTGTAAATGTTAGGATCAAAAAATTCGCTGTCATAAAAATCAACATTTAGCCAGGTTTCGACCAGAACAAATACGTCATAGTCCAAATGTGGACTTAATTCGTACAAGTTTTTAGACTTAGTTCTAAGCCGAGAAACATTTTGGTAATAGATGCTGAGAGGCTTAGGTTAGGCCTCGATATTTGCAGATGCTGTTATGGATCTTGTTGAATTACACCTTCTTTTGGAAAAAAACGGAAGGGTCGAACTTTTACGTTAGCTGGCCAGATATTCGCATTGACTACCCTATTATAATATGAGTCTGATACTCCCAGTTTGAAATTTATTTTTTTAAGATCGGCCACATTGGCATCCTTTTTGACGAGCATGAAACATGCCAGATATGCCTTGCTAATATCAGCATGCTTCGACACATAACTCAAAATATCATCTTCAGACACATTAGGCAAAAATGACGACACATGCAGCCACTTCATACTCGATACTACGCTTAATTCAACATTGTTGTTCGCCCCAATAACTAGAGGCTGTCTAGAATTTTTCCGGTTGCTTCTCCCAACTGTTCTCCACTCTGGAACTTGATTCCTATCGGGCATAGGGCATTTGGCACATTTGGAGCAACTGGCAAGCCTCCATGAGTAGGCTGTAAAGTTGACGAGCCTGAATTAAGCGTAAAAACCCTATCAAAAGTTATCGGTGATGCAGTTTTAGTGTGTGTGAGAGAGGTAGTAGCAGGTGCAGTGGGCAGCAGAGGCGGCGCAACAACAGAGGCACTCGAAGTCAAATTCATATTCTCAACGTTTGTCACTGCAGCACCAGCTGGTATACAGATCGAAGCATCAGTAGTAGGCATATTAGAATGTAAATCTTGTGCATTGCCAACAGAAGAAGGCGAAAGCGAAGAGCACAAGAGAGATTGTCTAACAACGTTAGTAACAACCATGATGCAATATAGAAGGTGTTATTAGCCGTGGGTAACACAGTGCGGCGCCGCGCCATTATGCTAATACCGAGAGCTGCGTTACTGGCGCCGATACCGATTTTCACAACTCAGTGACGCAATGGCGCCAGCAACACCGGAACACTGTCAACACCGGGTGTCGCAAAGAACCAGCAAAGAACACTCGAAATAGAAGTGTCTCTTGTAAAATGTGCAGCACAAGGCGAATTTATACAAGGTGGTGTTGCTAGAATTCCTCGCGGTCCTTCTGAATGTGAAAATGATGGGTTTGTTGTATTTTTGGGTTTTGAACTTGGGTATTCTTGAGTTTTTTCTCAACCGATATCACCTTGTATTAATTAACTTTGGTGCAGCGTGCAGCAATAAAGGAAATGAGCTTTAGCCTGAAGAGGCGCAATTGCGCCTCACACTGTGCTGATTCCGACAGTGGCGCTGGAGTTAATGCGCCAGCGCCAAAAAATTTGCGCCGTTACCCAGGCCTAGGTGTTATACGTTCGCTTTCCTCTCGCTCTAATCGCCATATTGAACGCCCTTAGCAAATTCAATTTGCCGCTTTGACCAACTCCTTTTTATATTACAGCGATTTTCATGAAAAAGTACTAAAAATGGTACTCGCACAAGGAAAACCATAGATCGACAATGATTGGCATCACTAATCGACTTTTTTGTCTCTGTCTCTATTGTTATTCGTTGACAATCAATATTAAAATTCGTGCGAATCGATAGCTAATTTGTGAAAATGAAGAATTTTCACCATTTATTGCAATTTTCGGAAAACCAATTGCTCAAATCGTAAGTACTTTATGCATATGTGATATAGAATCTATAAATAAAATTATTCCACAGGTTTCTGGTGTTTTGTGTGTATGTGAATTTCACAGACAATTTGTGTTTTTCGAACCGCTTTTCCGTGATGATTTCAAGTTGGATTTTGTGCTTCTGCACCGAATACACTTTTACGTTGTAAGTACAAGTGGAATATATGTATGAATATTTCTTAAACTAATGGGTTTTATTCCTTAGCTGATTGAAGCCGTACTAATTGATGTTTTCGCTGTGTACGTGGATTCGCAGATCGTGGTTTCGTTGTTTTGCTGTGCTGGATTTTGCGCCTCTGCACCCAATACACTTTTTCGTTGTAAGTATAAGTGAAATATATGAATATTTCTTAAACTAAGAGGTTTTATTCCTTAGCTGATTGAAGCCGTACTAATTGATGTTTCGCTGTATACGTGGATTCGCTGATCGTTGTTTTGCTGTGCTGGATTTTGCGTCTCTGCACCCAATACACTTTTCCGTTGTAAATACAAGTGAAATATATGAATATTTCTTAAACTAAGAAGTTTTATTCCTTAGCTGATTGAAGCCTTACTAATTGAAGTTGTCGCTCTTTTTCGTTAGCGGCATACGTATGTAAGTAATTTAAAACTTTTAAATACCGGAACATCATGACACGCCTCATTCAGATTAGTCTGGAAGTATGGTTTGCAGGGATCGTAGTACCACACACATTTCATGGAGCAATAACAACACAACAACAACAAGTTTAAGAAAAGTACTATAAATTAAACGAAAAAGAAAATTTTAATCTAAGAAAACTAGTTAAATAAAACAAAAATAATATTTTCGTTCAACTTTTTTTAAAAGCTTTAAATGAATACGAATATATATATACACTCAACAAACCGTAAGTGTTTAAACTTTTAAATTTATGTATGATGTTTCTAGCAATAACAGTATGTCAAAAGCAAGTTGCTTCTTGTGTCATAAGACATGAGCAAAAGAAGGCATAAAACTGTTCCATGTACCTAAGAACGAATTAAAAAGAAAAAAATTAGCGGAGTGTGTGGTGTGGAGTTGAAACCTGGGGCGAAAATATGCGGCCTTCACTTTTCCACTGCAGATTTTGTGTCGGGTTCAGACCAAAATAAAATTAAATTAAGCGTCGATGTTGTCCCTATGGTAGTCGAAATGGTCAATGATTCAAATGTTTCGGGCTTTTCTTCAAAATTTGTTGACTCTTCAACACAGACTCAGTAACTATGCTAAAAGTAAATTGAAATTGAAATAAAGTATATATATCTAGTTTAGATTTGACACAGATCACAGCATCGCATTATTGGAAGCAGAGGTTGCGGCGCTAAAGGCCCAAGTGGCTGAGTTGAAAAGGCTTCGAACAAATCTGCAAACGATTTTCACAGAAGGCCAAATGCGAAAGATTGAAAATCCGAGGAAAACAATCCATTGGTCTTGGAAAGACATGTCGTCAGCCATACCCCTGCATTCAGCCGGACCAAGAGCCTACACCCATTTGCTTAAGCATGGGTTTCCGCTTCCATGTCAATCGTCCGAGGCGAAATGGTGCCAAAAGCTTAAGTTTGAAGACGGTGTCTTGAGTTTTTCATTGAGCGTAATGCGCAGCGCAAGTGACATGTCAGTGGGTGACAAACTTTGTATTTTAGCTTTCGATGAAATGAAAGTGGAGCCTGTTTAAAAAGTCGGATGTACTTTCGTATAAAGTCGCTGAATAAATCATTAAAGCATTAGTGTAGTCGGGTGAGTCAAATGCAAAAGATTAAGTTATTCAGTACATGGCACTAAAAATCCTTCACCCACCAGAGCGCTGCACAGTGGTTCAGTTGTATGGAGCAACGTTTAAAACTTGTTTTCTCGGAAACTAAATGACGTTTCGCAATAACATTTGTTACACTTTTTACTGTTTGTCCAGACTAGATGGCTGATGAAAATGGATGAAATCGGATTAAAACTGTGCAGTATTTTTGGAATATACGAAAACCGCGATATTTAAGTAACTACTGCAGCAAAATTACTATAATTATATCGGACAATAACCACGCTGACCTTCCATGTATTGGTCTTTTCTAAAGATACAAATTCTACAATATTTTACTATGCGTATATATACATATTTTTTTTCACTGCTGTACCACTCAGGGGATACCAGAACTCAAACACTTCATTCCTTGAAAAGGAACAGATGTATGAATTACCTGTTAGTAAATAAAAAAAGAAATTGTTTTTAACATGCTTTCATTAGTTGTTAAAAAACTAAGAAGTTAAATTTACGGAACAATTTATTAAAATGAACCAAACCGAACCAAAAATACGGGTTTTCAAATATCTCGACACCTGCGCCACCTAGCGGATTACTTCAACTTTCATATTGCATTGTCATCGGGATCTGAGCTAAGTTTGGAGTTTCAAATCTCTATCTGATCGGGAAGTTGGTTAAAATGGATTTCAAGATTTGATTACATAGGTGAAAGTAAATAAAAGCTACTAAAAAATATACATGTTTTTAGCTTAAGGTTCGGCTAGTATGTATTGTGCTTTATGATTTTCTAAAGTAGTTTAAATATAAAAAATGCTCCTAACGCAAATCTAACCTTAACATAAAAATCGTCTCACTTAATAAATCGTTGAGGAATTAGTTTAATCGGGTAAGTCAAAATTAGTGCAAAAGATTAAATTATTCGATACATTGCCTACAAATTCTTTCATTTTTTGTTGTAGTATTTATCCATAAGGTAACAAAAAAGTAGGAAGTCTACTACTATTTCTTAAATGGGCTTCATTTATTCCCCGATTATCGCTTAATTCCAAAATAGAACATTGAGCTAAGGGCGTACAAGTTGGCGCTGTCACAACGTACAACACCTTGTATTATTACATCATGAGTAACAACTAGGGTTCGAACGATACTATCGATATTGAGTAAGTATCGATACTGATGGTATAAAAATGAGTACTTCAATACTCGATACCTTATTTGGCGATTTTACTCGATACTTTCCAAAGTACTCGTAGTATCGAATACTTTTTAAAAAACACACTTTTTAAATTTTATCTTCCATTGGCAACCCAGTTTTCTTTGCTTATATGGATTACTATCATTCAATTTTGTCCATCACTTCAAATAAACTGAAATTTCGTGTAGTCTGTTACATAACATAAACCAAATAAGTTAAAGTTTAATGGCCTTATTCATAAAAAATAAAGTAGGCTTCAAGAGCTGAAATAAAATTACACTTTCATACATTTCAGTTTATAAACCTCTTTTATTTTTTATGAATAAGGCCATAAAACTTTACTTTGAACTTTACTTTAAAGTTCACGAAAATACAGAATTTTTAAAAACTTTTAGGGTATGCAGTTTTGTAACCTATTCATCTTTCCGTGTAGCCTACTACCGTTGACTTTTAATTAAAACTTGCACAATATTAAACAAAATTGAATAGGCTACGAAAATGCATACCCACAAAGTTTCCAAAAATTATTAATAAAATTTAAAATTCGTGAAAGTAAATATGTGTGTATTTATGTATGTACATTTAACGTTTAAATTACTTCTAACGTGGAAGTAAGTTATGCAATGAAATAAAAATCAAATATTTTAAATGTCTATTGTTTTAATTTCAGGAAATAACTAGATATACGTTTGAAGAATAAAATAATTTTAGTTTCCCAAACAACGTATTTCAATGAGTCCGATACTGAGTAGTATCGATACTTTTTCTCTGATACTTTTAAAGTATCGATACCATGAGATCGATGCCAGATTGAGTACTCAGTATCGATACCAAAGTCTGAAATTTCGAACCCTAGTAACAACAGCATTCGAGGTTGACCGAGAGTCAGCAGCGGCAGCAGCTTTGATTATTGAATCANAGCTGCTATACAGATCGAAGCATCAGTAGTAGGCATATTAGAATATAAATCTTGAGCATTGCCAACAGAAGAAGGCGAAAGCGAAGAGCACAAGAGAGTTTGATTAACAACGTTAGTAACAACAGCATTCGAGGTTGACCGAGAGTCAGCAGCGGCAGCAGCTTTGATTATTGAATCATTTGCATTGACGACAGTGGACGAATATGAAGAGCAAGAGAGAGATAGTTTAGCTGTACCAGCCACCCACGATTGAGAGAATACAAAGGTTGCGCCGATCTCGGACCGCTATTCCTCTCTTAACGAATTTGACAGAATCGTTGTTTGCATGACGTCACACTGGTGCAACTTGTTTACGTTTTCCTTGCAACATTTTTTCTCCTTCTTCCATTCTTGCTCACGTTTTGGCATTTCTCTCTCGCAATTGCACCAGTGTGACGTCACACACAAGTTATTCTCAAAAATCCTCTCCGATCGGCGCAATCTTGTATTCTATCATTCTTGCCAGCCACCTCTTTGTATTTGTTTACATCAACAAAGCACCCTGTAGGGAAACCCCGAACTGGTGAACCAAATTTGTAGTTCCGTACTAGATCTTTATCGCCAAAAACGAACAAGTCCGATAGTAACTAGATCGCCACCAGTTCAAAAGCAGCGATATGTGGTACTTTTAAAAAACAATTTTAGAAATCTATATCTAAAATGACGAATTTTTCATAGGAATTGGAAATTGTCCCCCGCTGCATTACCTTTTCTATAGTTCAGAACCAGTCCTAAATTCGACATATGGGATCTAGTTCGCTTTGCACCCCATTTTCTATAGTTTCGAACCAGTTGTAAACGAAAAAAGTAACAACATGTTTTCTTTTTGGGTTTCCATGGTAGAAAATTTCAATTATTTGCAGAGAAATGTATTTTCAATCTGAAATCAAATTTGTT